GTAAGTTGCCTGCAATGATATTTAAGGTCCAGCAGGTGTCAGTATGGAGCAAAACAGCAAAACTGTGTCGACACAGTGTCGATACAGTTTGGGGAATGTGCTGAAACGCTTCACGAGGCCTCAGCTACCCATCACTACTGGTTAGCAAAAAGCTTGCATTCCACTGTCTCAACTGTGTCAAAGATGACCATGGTCACTTTGTAATAATTAAGGGTACACTTCTGGGAAAAGAAGTGACATTTATAAATCTGTACTGTCCACCTGGCTACTCCCCTAGCTTTCTTGCCTCTACTTTTGCCACGTTTGCTGATTTTGCCTCTGCAGACAGCTTTGTAGGTGGGGATTTTAACTGTCACATTGATCCTTTGCTGGATAAGCGGCCAAGTAGTTCCCCTCCCTCGAGCCAGGCCAGAATGCTCACTTCGTTAAGCTCTGACTTTGGTTTCTGTTTGGGGGCAGCGACACCCTACCAACTTAGGATTTATATTTTTCTCCTCGCCCCTTAAAAGTTGCACCAGAATTGACTATTTGTTCATCCCCACTTCCAAAATTTCCCAGTCTTTCTCTTGTGAGATTGGTAACATTATTTTATTGGACCACGCTTCCCTGTATTTGTCTTACGCCATTTTACGTTTTTTCTGGATGCTGGAGATTTCACTTGTCCCTGCTCAGAGACGAGAAATTTATTTCGCATTTTAATTCGGAATTCACGAATTAACTCCTCATCCTCAGATAAGCCCTCTATCCTCTGGGAAATGTGTAAAGCCTTTTCCTGGGGTCTGATCATCTCTCTTTGTGGCCTTTAGGAAGCAACAAACGAATGAGCAGTATTTAGCCCTTAAAACCAAGCTGACTGAAGTGGAGAAATGTCATATTGCATCTCCTACACCACATTTACTTAAGGACCTCACCGCCACTTGCACAGCTTTAAATATTTTTATGATTCAGAATTCTGAGCATACTCTTAAATTTGCTAAGCAGAGTACACACGATTTTGGTGACAAACCGGGTAGATATCTAGCCAACCTTGTAAGAAGAAGGGCTGAGTATCATGTCATTGTTTCTGTTACCAATCAATGAGGAGTTTGCGTCATTTTACTCTAATTTATATAAAGTAATTTCATCTTTTGGTGCATTTTCAGGCTATAAGATTAACTTTGCCAAGTCAGAGGCTATGCCCCTGGGATCACTGCTGACGATTTTGGTTACAACTGTTTCCTTTCCATTTCGTTGGTCTCCAACTGGTTTTACTTATTTGGGGATACGAGTTTCTCTGGCATTGACCAGTTCTTTGTTTTATGGTGTATTAGTGTTATCTGTTATTTTATATTTTAATCATGCTTTTGATAGGAGTATTGTATTGTATTTTAAAGGGTGTGTGTGTGTGCATATTCCTCATTCTTTGTTTTGCATTCTAATCTGAAGATCAACGTGATAACAATGCTGTTTAGCGCTATTTAAAACAGTTTTTCTTTGCTGCTATTGTTCTTATTGATGACACATATACATGTAGTGAATGGTATATGGGCATTCTAAATATCAGGTTTCTTTGAAACTCTTAGTTCAGGGTCAAAGTTTCAAGAAATTCAATCTATCTATGCATTTTCTTCCTCTTATCTGAGGCTAGCCCAGGGGTGGGCAATCTCAGTCCACGAGGGCCGGTGTCCCTGCAGGTTTTAGATCTCACCTTGGGTCAACACACCTGAATCACATGATTAGTTTGTTACAAGGCCTCTGGAGAACTTCAGGACATGTTGAGTAGCTAATTTAGCCATTTAAATCAGCTGTGTTGGTTCGAGGACACATCTAAAACCTGCAGGGACACCGGCCCTCGTGGACTGAGATTGCCCACCCCTGGGCTAGGCCATAGGAGCAGGAGCCCTAGCAAAGAACTCCCTCACCTCAGCCACATAACAACATCGAGGTATTCTCAGGCCAGGTGCGAGTCTGGTCTCACCAGCGGGGTGGGAGTGAGGAGGTTCTCAAAGTATTCCTTCCACCTCCCTACTAAACTC